GGAAAGGACGATGGCACGATGAGATGATCTCAATGAGATGCACACACACATGCGGCACGTTGCGGGCGAGTGAGTGTGGCATGGCTAAGATAGCGGAGACTGCGGGCGGAGGCGAGGAGAACGTAGCACGCGCTGGGCTCACACCGCCGCGGGACTAGCACTAGCGACGGGAGCAGTGGCTCTGATTAGTTCATTCACGGCGAGACCGACGGCGACGCCAGATCGGCGTCGCAGCCTGCTTAGCATTGCGTAGCATACTGCTGCTGAAATCCTCGAGTCCTCCTGCTGAGCATCCTCCCTCTGAACGCCATGCCATCCGCCCCTGCCTCATCCTCGATCACCTCCTGCGACGGCGCCATCCTGGGCCATGGGCCCCATCCCTAGACGCCGCCGTGCGTGCCAGGCAGTGGCGGCCCAACGGCCCGCCCACTTTGGCCCGCAACTCACGGCACGCCCGTGCTGCCATCATTATCCCCTGGCGGGTGCCACGACGAGTCGTCGGTCTTCCAGTTCCAAAAGAACACGCGCAGGAAATCATCTGAATAATATGTCATCCAACCGTCAGCCATCTGCTCATGGGTCAAGAAAGCATAGTGGGCCCACTTGGCACCGTACACTTCCTCGACGGCCGGCTGTATATGCAGCACGTGCAGCACCTGGGGAGGCGAGCGACGCGACAGAACAAGACGGATCACCAGGCAGCTGGACAGGGCGAGCGGGACCAGCGAGGGGGGAGGGGGGGGGCGAGCGAGAGGGTGAGCGAGCAGGCGAGAGAAGTCGAGAGAGCGCGGAGGCAACGAGCAACGAGAGACGGCGAGAGAGGGCGAGGGGGAGCGCCCGTAAGAAGGTGGGAGAGAGTGCAAGCAAGAGGGCGAGAGAGAGAGAGAGAGAGAGAGCGCGAGCGAGAGGGTGCGAGAGGACGCGAAGGGTGTGCCCGAGCAAGGGGGCGACGGTAGACGGGCGGAAGCGTGCGAAGGCCCCAGGGGCATCGCAGGAGAGCGAGAGGGCGATGGCCCAGGAAGCCCACGCGGGAGGGGCCTGGACGCAACGAGAGAGAGCTGTCCAAGACATCGGAGGGCGTGGAGGGGCGGGGCGCCGCACTCGGGCGGAGGCGTGGTGAGAGGCAGAGGGCGCGGTGGATGCGACAGGGGCGGGGGGGGGCGGGGTGGGGGGGCACTGGGCGAGACGCTAGCGGAGAGAAAGCACCTCGGGCATCGGGCGGTCGTCGAGCATCTCCTCTGCAGCGCCGCCGGCGGCTCTGTCGCCAGGGCCCCCGCTGCGGGCGGCCGCGGCGGCCTCGCCAGACTCGCCGTCGCCCTCGCCACCGCCGCCACCGACGCGTCGTCAGCACCGCCAGTGACGTGCCCCCGCCGCCGCCGCTGCATCGCCGACATCATCATGGTCGCCAGCATCGCCGACGTCAGCACCGCCGCCGCCGACCCATCGCCGATCTCACCCTGGTCGCCATCAGCGCCGACGTCAGCACCGCCGCCGACGCATCGCCGATGTCACACATGCCGCTAGCATCGCCGACGACGTCACCCACCAACGACGACGGCGTCGGCATTGCCCCGCCTGCGACGGGCGGATCGTGACCCAGGCGCCGCTCTTCGCTGGCGGTGGGCTGAGCGTCGGCGGATTGCCAAACGTCGGCGGCGGCTCTGCGGTGCCAGCATCGGCAGGCTCCGCGGCATCCCAGGGCAGCGGCGGCGGTGGCCGCTTCGCAGCGGGGCCAGTCAAGACCCGCTCGACCTTCGGGTGCGGCTTCGCCAGGTGGGCGAACTGCGGCGGGGGCGGCTTGCGAATGAGCAGCGGCGGGCCATCGTGCTCGCGCTGGGGCGGGGGCGGCTCGCCAGCAGCTGGGCCCGCCAAGGCCTCGGGCGCCATCGGCTCCCAGGAGCTCGCCGCCCCCGCGCCCGCAGCGTACTTGGCGGGGGCCGGCTTGACGGCGGGGGCAGCCTTCTTCGGCCGCGGCAGCGGCGGGCCGCCGCTCCAGGGGTCTGTGCCGTCAGGCGAGGTCGCCGTGGCCGCGGCGTCCTGAGGCGGCTGCTGCTGCTGCTGGGGAGGCGTCACCAGTGTTGGCGTAACTGGCATCGGCCAGGAGACGCTGGGGGGGCTGCCTGGCGGCGGCGATGGGGGCTCACTCGCATCGCCTGGCGAGAGCGTCGTCAAATCGGCGGGCTCAAAGTAGCCTCCGCCATAGAGCCAGGTCAGGTCCGTCTGCACGCTCGCCTCGCGGGCCACAGGAGCGTTGAGCCAGGTCTGCGCCGCCGAGACCTCCGCTGCAGGTGCCGCTGGTGGTGGGTCCGTAGGCTCGGACTGTGAGGACTGAGACGCCAGCTCTGACATGGGCTCATTGTCGGAGTCGAACTCGTCGACAGGCACCGGCAGCGTCGCGACGTCAACAGGGGCAGCGGAACCGCCGTCGCACTCGGGCGCCATCGCGCGGCAACGGCCAGGCGGCGCAGAGGCCGCGCAAGCCAGGGACGCCGCGGATTGCGATGCCCAGTCGCCTGTGAGCCCAAGCAGCAGCGGGAGGCGCCGCGCCACGGCTGCCAGCGGCTGCGCCAGACGGACGACGGCGACGACCTCCGACACAGCGAACGGCCCACACCGACGGACCGTTCACGACGAGCAGGCGCAAAGGCACGGACGTGCGGAGCCACTGCGGACCAGGCCAGGACCGACCGCGAGCGACCAGGGGCGACCGATCGACCAGGGGCGACTGAGCGTTCTGGAACGCCCTGAGAGAAGGCCGCGACGCCCGATACATCCTCCAGAGCCGCCGGATCTAGGAGATTCTCGATTCATTGTCACCTGCGTTTGTCCTCGTCATGGCTTAGCGTTGTTTTCAGGAGCGGAGCGCCTGGAAGGAAAGAGAGGGAGGGACTAGAGCGGAGAGAAAACCAGGGGGCCAGGAGAGGGAGGAGCGGCGCCGAGGCCTGAGTTGGCTGCTCCGCCTCCGGAGCCTCCTGCGCCGCCGGCGCCGCCGCCGGCGCCGCCGCCGGCGCCGCCGCCTGCGGCCGCCCGCCAAGCTCCGCGGCCATGGCCGAGGCCTCGCCGCCCGCTGGCGCCTCGCGGGAACGGGAAAGGGAAACCGATCCCCATCCCCAGCGGCGCGGCCTGGGCCCCGCTGGCCGATTCAACCCCCTAGATCGGCATCGATGCAAACCGTTTCCTTCGGGCTGCGGCTCCGAGGGGTGCATCCACAACCAGGGGGGCGCAGTCAACCAGCACAGTAAGGAAGGGCGAGTAAGGGCGCAAGGGCCTTGGGCGTCCATCGCGAAGTTTTTCTAGCGGGGCGCGGCCGGTGAAAGTGGCCGAGGATGGAGCGAGGAGGCAAGGGTGCAAGGGTACCCTTGGGAAGGTTTCCCATCCTTACTATTCGGGTTGACTGTTATTTGGTGATGGCCTCGAGGGGAGAGGGGATGGGCATGGGGATGGGCCGGGGGTCGGTCAAACGATACCGTGCTGAGTAAAGGCAGGGTGGGGAGCAGCTGTAGGCGGTTTCAGACACATGTATTTTCCCAGGGTCCAAACGCGCTGGTCGTTCGCGACGCGTCCAGCTGTCGCGACGAGGGGGGGCCGAAAAGACAATCGGTGTCTCGAAAAGCCTCGCTCCAAGTCTCAGCTGCAATTGAGCAGGGACCGACCGTCCTGGCATATCATATCATATCCATATCTATGGGCCATGCCTATCACGAGATGTTCTCAGAACCCAAACATGTTCTGATAGATAGCCAAACAATGTTATTGTAACGTAATCCCGATGCGATAAAACAAAACATCCCCAACCAGAAATATTATAAGAACAATAGGCAAGCCAGGACGCTTCGCCACAAGTCGACCTCCCTCGCCAGCGGCAGTGTCTTGGCCCTCCTGGCGAGCGGGCCGAGCCACATCTTCTCCTCGGACTCCTCGGCCTCGACCGCCGTCTGAGCCTCGACCACCGTCTGAGTCTCGGGCACCGTCGCGGTCTCGTTCTTCGCCACCTCCTCCCTCTCCTCGTCGACCGGGCCATTCTCCGCCGCCTTGTCCTCCTTGTCCTCTTCGTCCTCCATCGCCGCCTCTCCTTCGCCGAGGAACTCCTCTCCGTCGACCTCCGAGCCTGCGCCGTCGGGATCGACGTCGGGCTCCTCGGCGGCCGCGGGGGCGGCCGGCGCTTCGGGTGCCTCTGGCTGCGCGCCGACGGCCTCCGGCCGCGCGCCGCCCGGCCCCTCGGCGCAAGCCTTGGGGCAGCTGCGGCAGCGACCGACCGCCCTGGCCGTCCTAGAGCCTATTAGGTGTTTGCCACTTGTGACATGTTGTGAGAACCCACGCATCATGTTACGGTTCTAAGAGCAAAACAATGTTTTTAGAACAAAAGCCCGATGTGTTAACACACGACGTCCCAGCCAGACATACACTACACACATTTAGTGCAACTCGCAAACAGTTCTTAGAACATTGTTTGGTAAGCTAGGCACGCCGGGACGCTTCGCCGCTGCCCGCCTGCCCCCCTGCCGTCGGCGCGCCCTCCGGCTCGGCCGCGCGCGCCGGCGCGACAGGCGGCGCCTGCCGCGGCGGCGGCGCCGCCGACGCCGCCGCCCGCGGCGCGCCCGCCGGGCGCCGCGCAGGCCCCGCCTGCGGCGGCAGGCAGGAAGGGGCAGGGGGAGGAGGAGGAGGAGGAGGAGGAGGAGGAGAAGGAGGAGGAGGAGGAGGAGGAGGAGGAGGAGGAGGAGGAGGGGGAGGAGGAGGAGGAGGAGGAGGAGGTGGAGGAGGAGGAAGAGGAGGAGGAGGAGGTGGCGGAGGAGGAGGAGGAGGAGGGGGGGGAGGAGGAGGGGGAGGAGAAAGGAAACAAGGAGAGAAGAGGAGAGGGGAGAGACAGGCGCGGGAACGAGGAAGCCAGAGGGCCGGGGAGAGGGAGGAGGGGGTGGGGAAGGGGAAGGGGGAACAGCAAAAGAGGGCTAGGAGGGCGAGGAGGAGGCGGGGGGGAGGGGGAGTCGGAGGGCGTCCTGCACCATGTCGCCGTGGGAATCCATGAAGGCCCTGACGAGCGGGTGGATCCGCAACACACCCACCTTGCTAGCCACCAAGCGCGCGCAGCGCACGATCACCTCCTCGCGAACCTCGCCCTGGCGAAGCGGACGCCACATCGCCAGCACCGCAGTGCCGCTCCCGGCGAGGAGTCCAGCCCGCTGAACGGCGTCGTTGCTGGCCGCTGGGTCGAACCCGAGAGCGCCCTCGCACAGGGCGCGCACGTCGCGGACAGCGGCGCTGTAGAACCACTTCATCTCGGCGAAGATGGCCCTCATGAGCGGCGCCGAGCACATCGCGACGACGTCGTCCTTCTTCTGGTAGAACTCGCCGGCGGTCTCCGACATGAGAGCTGCCAAACCCACCTGCTGCGCGGAGCGATCAGCGCCGAGGGCCACCCGGGCCACGAAGTCCACCACCGACTGCCGCAAACCAGCCTTGTCAGCGTCGCGCGCCCTCTTGCACTGAGTGACCAAATCGATCATCCTCGCGTGTAAATCTGACGATATCCCCGACCGTGATTCAGCGAACTCCATGATCTGCTTCAGCGTCTCGCCCTGATACACCGCCGCCTCGAGGTGCTTCATCATGCTCGTCAGGCCGTTCATTCTATCATCTTCTGACAGGTCGCTCTCGACGGCGGGCAAATTCTTGACGAGGTGGTGCCCGCTGGTCGGCTGCTGCTTGAACCGGGCAAGCAACGGCGCCCGCGCCATCGCGTCGATGGAGACGCCGCGATGCTCGGGGTCGTCGAGGATCGAGGGCGAGGGGCAAACGAAGCCCCTGTAATGGGAGACGGACGTGGAGAGCACCTGGGACGCAAGAGCCGCGAAACAAAAACTCGGGGCGGATGGCCCCGCCCACCTCCTCGGGGGAGGGGGCGGTCGGGGAGGGGGGGGAGGTGGGGGCGGTGGAGGATCTCGAGAAGTGGGAGGGAGGGAGGAGGAGGAGGGAAAGGGGGGGAGGGAGTCGGAGGAAGAGGGGGGGCTTTCGGCGGAGCTCCATCGCCATTCCCCCCCTCCGCCCCGCTCCCCCCCCCCGCTTCCCCCTCCTCCTCTCCCAACCCCGCCTCTCTCCTTGCCCCTCGCGTCGGCTCCGTGGAAAGTTTTGCCCAGAAAACGTTGGGCTCTCACCTCGACGACGTTGTCCGCGACTGCCGCGTCGCCTGGGATCCAGGTGCCAAGGAAGCGCTCGACGCGCACCGGCCCCAAATCCCAGAGCTGCTTAGCCTGCGCCTTGAATTTGGCCATGACGCCGTCGTTGAAGATGTAGCAGTTGAGGCGCTTGCTGATGACAGCCCGGACCTTCGCCTCGAACTCCTTCGCGTTGTCGTCGGGGTTCTTCAGCATGGTGTGCTTATCGTCGTTCTCGTCGTCCAGCAGCTCAACCAGCTTCAACAAGACGGGGTCGCACAAGTCAAAGGGGGCATTGCCCAGCAACGCAGAGACCCCGGCGATCACGCAGCGGGTGTCGACGGAGATGGCCGCGCAGGTCGCGGTGAAGCCGTTGGTTTGCTCGGCGGTCGCGAACTTGGGGAATACAGTGTCGGCAATGTCTGGAAGGGCCTCCATCGTCGCATGCGCGCTTGCCAACTGCCACGCCGCTTGCCGCTGATCGTCGATCTTCAGAGTTCCCGATGCGTCGTTGCATATCTCATTGAGAAGAGGCAGCGCCGGCTTGAAGATTTTATCGATCACCGTTTGGATAGACCCGACGCCGTATGCCGACATAAAAAGAAGCCCTGGCGTTCTCGAGGAAGTCGCTCACAGCAGCCAACTGCACCTCGTTGGCCGCCTTGAACCGATCGGTCATGACGCCCTGGAGCTTCGACTGATTCTCCTGCAGATTCTGAAGCACCGCGACTTGGTCGGAGTCGATGGTGACCTTGTCCTCGCAAAGGCCTCTGAGGGCGCCAACCTTGCCGACGTCCTGGGTGAGCTTGTCCAAGGTCAGGCGCAGGCCGCTCTCTGCCTTCACCGCCGCAAGCTCGTTGTCCACCTGTTTCATCAGCAGCAGGCCCGTATCGAATACCTTCATCGACCTGGCAAACTTCAACTGGTAGTCGCCGGCCTCCTTCGAGTACGCGTCCTTGATCTCCTCGATCTTATCCAACTCGTCCGCGGACGCCTGCTTCGCCAAGGCGAGGGCGACCCACCTGGAGAGGTCGCACCGGCAGCTCGACTCGGGCATGTTGGGCAATAACTTCACGACCTCCGTGGCGAACTTCGCACAGGCGTCAACCATGCCGCTGCCGCGGAGGAGCTTGATCACGGCGTCCACGAGGAAAGTCTCCTGGAACTTGATCGCATCGTCGGGGCTGATCTTTTCGAGGAGTACCTTGGGGAGCCCACTGTTGCTCGGCGAAAGGCGACTGACTGCGACTTCGTACTGGCCGGTAAAGAAACCATTACCGTTGCCTTTTCCAGGGCGTCCATGATCTCAGAAGTGTCCACGACCTTCCTGGTCAAGGCTGTCGCGAGGGCCAAACAGACGGCCAGCTTGTCGTGGACGATGCGCATGTCCTCGTAGAGGTCCATGCCCGTCATGTCCACGCCGGCCATGGTGCTGGTGAAACGGCCTGCCACGACGTACACGTCCACGAACTTGGGGACCATGGCTTTCTTCAGCCCCTCCAGCGAGGTCTTCATGCGCTTCGGTCCGATCAACTCCTGCTGTCGCTGGAGGTGAGGGGCATAGATAGGGGGGGTAGGCATAGGGCATAGACATAGGGGGGCGCATCGACCTGGAATCGGCGGTACATTGTCGATTCGATAGATCGGCTATAGGCCCCCAGTAGTGAATCCGCGCCTTCCCGCGCGGGCTGGGGCTGTAGGCTATCGGCTATCGGGCCCCATTTGGCGATCAATGGACGATTCAGGGTCGGTGCATCCCCCTTATGCCGCATATGCCTATCCCCCCCCATCGGCGCCCCCGAGGAGGTCGGGGGCGGGGGAGGTCGAGTCAAAGGAGGGAGGACGACGACGACTGTGTTGTGTCCTCGTTATCCACTGCCAGGTACCCGTTCAGTTCCTGCTTCGCCGCCAGGAGCGCCCGCTCCCCAGCGAGCAAGATCTTCAGGGTCTTCTGGTCTAGCGAACCCGTCGGGCCGGCGCCGCCGCTGGACAAGCCTCTGCCTCCGCCTCCGCCGCCTCCGTCGCCGCCCCCACCACTGGGCCCACCTCGGCCTCCAGCGCCGCCCCCGGGCCCGCGACGCCCTCCGCCGCCGGCGGCGCTGGCTTTGCCAGCGGCGATGGGCAAACAACAATCATCGAATACCCAATCGAGGTCGTCGTCGTCGTCGTCGTGCGAGCCGGCGGTCAGCGCCGAGTCCTTCATCGCCAGGAAGATCGGGGCATCCTTATCTTTCTGCGTGAGCTTGACGGCCATCTTACCCACTAGCATGTCGTAGAGCTCCTTGATTTGTTCATGGCCCCTGACTGCCCCGTCAGAGTCGAGCTTCTTATTGTACTCGACACCCTGGGAATGCTTCTCCTTGAGCTTCCAGGTATTGAGGGGCCTGCCATGTTCCTTGCCCAGGATCATGCCCCTCATCTTCTTGTTGTTGATCGTCTTGGTCACGATGGCCTTCTTGTCGGGCTTGGTGCCCTTCTCCCTCAGGTACACCCACTCGGGCCAGAAGATGCCCAGGTTCTCCTCCGCGCCCAGCGAATGGGAGTCCTTCATGACGACCTCTGTCTTGAAGCCACCTGGTATGTCCGCGGAGAGCTTCACGATTGCCAGCTTCGGGTTGCGGTGCCTGTCCAGCCACAGAAACCAGAGCAACATGTACTTCTCGTAGAACTCAGGCTCCTGAGGCTCGCCATTCACGAACTTGCGCCCATTCACCATGCGGTCGCGGTCGACGCCTTGCATAGCCCAATTCTGCATGTTGCGGCACACCAGGCACCCGAGCGCACCCTTGCGGCCGACCTCCAAGAACCTGGTGGCTCGGAAGGGGAGGGGGGCCGAGCCGACGACGAGAGCGACGCGGCCTTCTCCTGGGCCCCTGGGGCCTGAACGCCTCAGCGTTCCGAGCCGCGCCCAGCCGAGGGGCCCCCCGAGGGCCGAGAGGACAACCGCGACGACGTCGAGGACGAAGACGACGGCGTCGACAACGGCACCACGACGCGACGACGAAGACAACGACGACAGTTGCGGTGTTGTTGTTGTTGGTGGTACTGTTGTTGCTGCTGCTGTTGTTGTTGGTGTTGTTGTTGTTTAAATATTATTACTTCTAAAGAATAATTATTGTTGGGCCCCCTGGTGCACGCCCCCCCTGCGCCGCCTAGGCCGCAGCTACATTTTCATCATTTTCGTGAGGAAGCCTCAGGTAAAACGATGTGATCCAGATCCGGTTGTTTTGTTGTAATCCGTTTTCCCTTGCAAAAAACACTATAAAATGACATTTCTTGTTCTAATATAATCAATTTTCAAGAATCCCTTGCAAAAAATAAGGTAAAGTGGACATTCGCGCGCGCAAGACGAAATCCTTCCAAAAGCTTAGTGTTCGGAGCGATTTCAACATAAAAACATCAAAAAACCAATGGTTTTTCAACAAAAAATGTCAACATCTCATCCCGCGCGCTCTTGCGGATTCGTAGGAAACCCAACACTTTTTAAACATTTCTGTCAAACGGGCTTTTGCGAGCAACTTTTTCGAACTTCTGCGACACCGGTTGCGCACCTGCCAGGGCCAACATCCCTGTCAAATAATACCATGCGGGACACATTCGTTTTTTCTTCACTTCGTATCCTGTACCATATGCATCATATGCAACAGATGTTCTGTGAAGGCTTAACAACTTCTGTGGGTTAACAAGGCTTAACAACTTCTGTGGGTGTACGAACGTAGGCTTAACAACTTCTGTGGGTGTGTACTCCACGCCAGTGTAGTAGCCACGGTCGTCCGCAGGCCACGAAGTGAAGTGTCCGAACGTCATCGGGCGGGGAGCTGGGTGTGGGCGGTGGCGAAGAGTCGTGTGGATATTTGGTAGAGCTTGCACTGCCCCCCCACAAAGTGGGGGTATTGGCTGGCGTCGCATGAAAACCCTGGCACTGGTGAGAACACTGAGCGTTCGGGTAAAGTGATTGTTGTTGTTGTTGTTGTTCTTTTTGTTGGTGTCGTTGTCGTTGTTGTTGTTGTTGCTGTTGATGTTGTTGTTGTTTGTCGTTGAGTCATCCCCTCAGGGAACGGATTTCTCCGATTCTGCATCGGGTTGGACGTCTTGCGGTACTCGCAATGGCAGAAGGCACAGTCGCCCTCAGGCGGCTCCAGAAACTCGGGCGTGGCAATCGGCAGAGCCCACTCAGCCTTCTCCCTCAAGTAGGCAGCCAACCTGTCCTTGAGATTGGCCACGAAGTCCGGCGCCAAGACCACCGCCATGTTATTATGCCCTCCGCCCACCTGGGTCGCGATGTCGTCGCAGCCAATCCCATCGGCTTCAAGCTGATCCCCCAGCAGCTCAGTGAGACGACACCCCCCAGATCGGACGGATCGTCCGACGCTCCTGAGACTATGCGGCATGGACCTCGCGACCAGGCGGCAATCGGCCCGAGGCGGTGCAGGGTTTGGGGGGGGCAAGTTCGTTCAAGTCGGGCTAAGATGTGCAGCCTAAATCGGCTGCGGGCGAGAACGGGGCCAGTTGGGGAGGGGAAGCGCAGGAATGGCAGGGCGGGGCTGTCATCGCCCACTTTCCGCGAAGGACTTCAGCTAGCTAGGCCAGGAGCAAATTACCCCCCGTGGCCGCGGCGATCGGCGGATCAAACTCGGCCCCTGGACCCCGTGGCCCAAGTGCGCTAGCGTCCCGAGCCGCGCCTAGCCGCGGCGACGAGCGGAGTCTTCCGCTCGAGCAAGGACCCGCGCCCCCCGAACGAAATCGGATGGTGCAACGTGGCAGGGAGGAGGGGGATAGGATAGGGGGGGGGAGATGGGCCGGCCCAGAATGGGCGAGGGAGAGATTTAGTGGGAAGGCGGAGGACGAGGATGATTCAGGCACATATCCAATTTAGGTCCCTGCCCGCGCTGCCCTGTGACGCAGGCGCCCAATCCCTCGAGCGCTGGGTCCCTCGCTGCCAGGCAGCGGTCTAGAAGCGGGCGACGCGGGGGAAGCGCCCGCGGCGCCCCGCGGGTGATCAGCGGCGGGAACTAGCTGGCCCCCTGAGGGCCAAAATCCATTGCAATTGGGGCGTGGCCGAGACTCGAAACCGCACTGATCAGGGAAAACAAAACCACTCAAACACATGTGAAGGGAAAATTCACGACCGAAACGTCGGGGGTTTCGGCCTCGCCTGCCCAACCTGGTCCAGCCTGGGGGGGTTCCAAAAGGTGTTTTCGGTGAGGGGGTTTTCAGGGGCGGCCATGCGCCTCGGAACCTCGTTCGAACAAATGGGTGCGAAGCCCCTGGGGGGGCCATCCTGGAAAACCGCCCCCCAACAAAAAGATCATTTGGAACCCGCGGGCAACAGCTCGCGCCACCGCCGCTCCAGGGGGCTGCAGCGGGAACGACGGCGCAAAAACAAAACAAAAGCGCTCTAGACGGCCTGCCCCATGTCCTGCCAGGGCGCGACCTGGTCGCCAGCGTGCCAGGGAGCTACCACAGGTCGTCGAGGTCGTCGTCCTTGCTCTGCAGCAAGGGGCTCTGAAGCGTGACAGCGCCAGACTGATCTGGCACGAACCTCACGCCACGATGCCGAAGGTATGCGACGCCAAGTGTGGTCATGGAAGCGATCATCGTTGCGGCGGCGACGCCGCTGTGGAAGGCGTCCCCGGCCAACTTGGTGAGCGCGTCGGAACTGTGAGCCGCGGCCTTCGCGTGGCGCTCCGGGTTGTGAATGCCCTGGAAGGCGAGGGCCTCAATGCCATGCATGAAAC